GACACAAAACTGAAAGTACAAATACTTTTTCAGAATAAAGTTTTACATTAAAATTTTATACATTGATAAGTAGTTATTTTTACTCAAACAAGAATGTAGAAATATATCTTTCCCCAAGTACACCTACAGCAGCAAGCTGGCAAGCTACAGAACAATTGCACCAAAGCAAACTCAAATAATCTTTAGGATAATGCCCTCAAAAATTACTGTCTGCTACTCTGAAATAAATATCTATGTGCAGTCTCAGAATGACAGCTAAAGTCTTGATTAATAAGTGTGATCAGATTACTTCTCTTAATGCAAAGTGTGTGCACTGCCAGCCTGTGACAAAAGTGCACAAATGGAAACTTGTGGAAACTTGAAGGTCCTTATACCTGGCATTTAGTAAATAAAATATGTTGCATAGCAAAGTATTGGCAGAAAAAAGCTTAGTAAAACAAAAATGGAAAATTAGTCTGTCCAATCAGTTTCTACAATGCTGTTTACAGCTTTGTATACACTTTTTTATTCCATTTTTCTCAGAATGACACCATCTTGTTGAAGGGCACTATTGTGATAATTGATCATCACGTGTCCAGCATAATCATTGTATCACTATGTGGGCATCTACTACTTTGATATGTTTTTTTCCATTATATTTACAAGAAGCTATAACTATCTTAAAAATTCAGTTTTTTATCGACATTTAGCAATGGAAACTCCTGCCTGACATAAAACTGATTTGCAGTTGTTTCACTGCACTATGTGCCTGAAATTACAAGTTCAGTGTTGTATTAGTATTCCAGGATACTTACAGAACAGCAGCTTTAAGGGGCTGATATAAGTATGAGGTAATCCATGTCAAGTGCTCTTGACATAGAATTGTACAATTAGGAAACCAGTATAACTGAGTTGAAGTCTAGTTATGGTGCAAGGCTCAGCTCTTCACTCAAAATTCTTTAAGTGTATTTAGCTGAGCTGTTTGTCTCCTTGACAATGTGTAAGGAAAGCCTACTTTGGCTTGTTGACTACCTCCCTTGTTCTTCACAGAAAGAGTGATTGGGCATTGGAATGGGCTGCCCAGGGAGGTTGTGGAGTCACTGTCCCTGGAGGTGTTTAAGGAAAGACTGGACATGGCACTCAGTGCCATGGTCTGGTTTACACGGTGGTGTTAGGTCACAGGTTGGACTCAATGATCTCAGAGGTCTTTTCCAACCTAATTGATTTCTGTGATTCTGTGTTTCCTTTTTGTAATTGGAAGGATAAGCTGTTAAATCTCTCATTTGAGTACTTATGTCTTTGAATTTTTGTTAGTCATTAAACTGGACAGCTTTATTTAGTCATCCTGAAATTGAAAAATAATTCTCTGAGGTTTAGAAAAACTGAGCTAATAACTTTTCAGTAGAAATACCTACAAAATGAAAGCCCAGTTCAAATGCCTGATGCCAAGTGGTTAGCACTATGTGGATTTTAAGGTATTAAGCTTTCACTGTAACTGCTGGGTAAGAAACTACAAGGTATTTATCTTAGCTTTGCTAAGAGTTTTGTCAGGTAGTATTTCCAGTCAGTTCATATCAGACACCTTGACATCATGGTCAGTATCAAGAAAATGTTACATGCCTACCTGTCCATATATCTCCAATCCATAAAGGGTAAACTGAGTCGTTTGGGAATATTTTTTCTCTCTCATCTTCCTGTAAGATCATGGTTAACGCTGTTACTTTCAATGCTGTTTTAGTAAAAAACTAACCTAGCTCATTTTCCCAGCATGGACAATTCAGAAGTGACACTGATGTGCACTAGGTTTTTGGAGAGCAAAATGAGAGGTAGCATAGGATATGATTCCTCTACCTATTCCTCTATTCAGTCCTGCATCAAAGCAGAAAGATAGTCCTAGAAATGTATTTTGTAGTTGTCTTTACTAGTGCTCTACAAAGGGAGCACTGTTCAGTCCCTTATGAAGCATTATGCCAATTGACCAACCTCATTAGACATAACACCCATCTACTAAGAGTCTTCTACTTCACAGGGAAACTCCTACTTGGTATTTGTATCATTCAGTTGTTGTATAGACATGTTAGAGGGCCATGGCGTGTTTTTTGGGCATTTAAAGGTAATGGGCTGGGCAGGTCATTGGAAAAATCTGTTCCTTAAATGATTAAAAACTCAGCTAAGCAATTCCTGGTTTATGGCTTCTTAGCAGAACACCCCCAAGGAAGAAACATGTAGCTACCTACCTCATTCTTAACTCTCTTTATTAATCTTCTGTCTGGATTTTTAACAGTTTCCTAGGCAACTAAAAACAGAAACATCTTTGTAAACCAGAGCTTTCCAGAACTCTCCATTTCAAGTGGTACACAAATTAATTACAGCTTTCTCTTCATCACTGAGTTTTTACCAGATTTTTAAAAAAATCTGCAACTAAATTTGTCTCATCAGTGGCTTTGAGATTTTCTTCCCTAGAAATATAAGGTGGCGGTGGCAAACATTATTTTGACTTCTTGAGGAGACATGGAAAGATACTATAAGCCTTCCCTTCTGAAATGCTAATTATGAGCAGCTTGTCTGCCAGAGCTCAGTTTTCATAAATGATGCAGGAGGGATCCACAATGAAATAGTTACAGCACTGTAGAGAAACCCAGTTTGCAGCTGTCATTTGAGCAAGGTCTACCATGAGACGTCTTCAGTGAGACTGTCTTTTAGCCAGAACATGACACCAGCTGAGGCAACAATAGGGAAGAGAGTGAAATTTTTTTCCCTCTCTCCTGTAGACATAAGAACATATTTTTATAGAGTATTCTGAGAAGAAATGTCATTATTCTGTATAAATCTGCCCAAAGAAAAGCCAGCTGCAGCCACTTTAGCAAAAGACAGTTATACCCACTAAGGCAATACTTTTGCCAAAACCAGGGCAAGTAAGATTATTCATCCCCTAAAGCCTGGAAAAAGCAAATTCATCCTTAAGAATGTCTTGTTATGAAGGTCTGGATTTACAGGAAAACCAGAATAAAGTCATGCAAAAAATTAAGCAAAAAAGACAGTTATACAAAATTTTGTATATGTGTTAAGTTGATATTTTCTAGACTGTTGTTCTGCTGTACTGAGGTACTAGAGGTACAAAATGTTTAAATCTGTTTCATAGTACCGACCACTGTTTTGCCCTTGAAGAAACTGGAACCTCAAGCTAAATGAAAACAGTTTGAAATATGTCACTTGTATGTTCTTTACTACTTTTTACTTTCTGTGTGTGACCTTGGCCAAGTCAGCTTCCCTCTGTCTCAACTTCAGAAGTAAAACTGTTGAAGGTATTCTTAGAACACCTTTTTATGAAAAAGGAATTTAGAGTGGAATAAGAAAACAAACTCCCTAATGCATGATGAAGAGAATAATGAAGAGATTTTATACATGTATATAATATATGCATGTAACATATATACATGATACATATATATACCTACATATATATATGCCTTAATTAGCAGCCTCAGATTTTTCAGATATTCTTTTTAATGATCAGGTGATTAATATTTTAAAATAAAAACTTATCTGTATTATGACATTCTCATATAATTCATCACCACTGGTAAAAACTCTCATAAACATGCCTGTAAATGGGCAAGCAGAAGTGGCAGTAATAAAACTGTGCTTTAAATTATGATTCAAAATGGGCTATTTTAGGAGTTGAATAGATGAGGTGACAGCCAGAGACACCTGTGGCAAACTGCAAATGCAGTAAATGGAAATGGGGTCAGTCTGTGAAGCTGCTCAGTTAAACAACAGTAGGTGTCTTCTTTGGAGTACAAGGAGTGTCTCTCACTTGCACCATTTTTTGGGGGGATGAGGAGCATGGCTCAGTTACCAAAACAAATTCATCTAGTGTGATGTTAGGTGGTGTAGGCTGTGAGCTGGGCTCCAGAATAATGCAGGTCTCCATAAATCACATGTAAGGGTGTCTCAGATTCCTGGGATGTCAGAGTGGTGCTTAGCAAAGGAGTTCCACCAAAGAGCTCTGTGCTCCAACCTCTAGAAACATTAATTCGTGGTCTCCTCCTGACCAGGAAGTTACCTTCTGATGACCATGAAAACAGTCATTGTGGAGATAAAGAAGTAAGAGAGATCAAGAAGTAAGTAAGATCAAAGAAGTAAGAGAGAATAAGGAAAACATTGGCAACAGATAGGAGACAACATTTGGGCTCAGGTATACAAAGGTGTTCAATATAAGACCCATTCCTTCACCACACTTCCAAAAGACTGTGCAGATACTTCCCACCAGTCACCATCGTGACACGGGCTGCGGTGGAACAGATGTGTTCCTCTTTTTCTGGACATTCTGATGTACTGATAAATCTTCACTGGATTGACATCAGAAGTCCATCTTGGACTTGGTTTAGGCCCTTGTATTTCTGCAATGAGAAGGAGAATGTTTCTGTTTCAAATATTGTATTTCATGCTGTTGTAAATACATAATGGCATGGTAATGACAGTCTGAATGGAGTAAGAAGGATATAATTGATTCTTTAAAAACTTTTAAAAAAATAACATTTGCATCTTTTAAAATTTATTTTATAATACCCTTGGCTAATTTATTTTACTATATTGAAGTTTTATTGTAGGCTGAAACTAACTTAAATTCAAGTTATCATGTCTGTATTGAATCACATGAATCAAAACGTATCTGGTATTTATTAATTTTCTTGGGAAATAGGTTTTAATTTTTTTTTTCAGTGTTGGAATTACTACTGCTTTTGTCAATTATGCATATTTCAAACATTTAAAAGAAATATTTTCTTTCCAAAAATAAGTTTGTTTTCATTACTTTTTCTCTGAGACACATGTTGGCGAAACATAAAGATCAGTTGCATTCCTAATGGTCACTGGAGGTCTGTTTTTTAAAAATCTATTAAAATTAGCAAACCATGAGTGGAGCCTCCTGTCTTTGTCCTCATTCTATTTGCTTGGAACATTCTCTTTTGATTTTTCTTGTTCTTAGTCAAATCCTAATAATTGATGAGCTGGTGTAGGATAAGGACCATGATATCACTGTGCACCCTGAGTTTCAAAATTATGTTTTGGCAATTTTGTCAAAGGAACAAAACTTATCTGGAGATGAAGAGATAGATGATGAGGAGGAGGAGGAAGAAGAAGAAGAAACAGAAGAAGAAGAAAAAATAGAAGAAGCAGAAGGAGAAGAGGAAACAGGAGAAGAATCTAGAGAAGGAACAGAGAAAGAAGAGGAAATAGAGGAAAAATATGCAAAAGAGAAACCTAGTAAAACACCTGAGGGAGAGAAAAGCAGTAATAGCACAATGGAAACTGGAGAGGTAAGAGCATTTAGTCTTATTAAGTTACTGTTCTCTGAAAGAATCTGGTTCTATAACCAGCATTAGTTTGAATATGTGTAGCTACCCTGTAAATGCAAAGTTGTTGTTTGGGGTGGTTTTGGTAGAGAGAGGAACACATGTAGGTGTTAATCATAAAACATCTTACTTTTTAACAAGTTTGAATGTAGAGATTTAATTGGTTTTGTCTCTCTATAGACAGAAGAGACTACTCAGAAAGAGACCATCGTTCAGCAGGGTAAGAATACAATTCCTAAAGACAAATACAACATTTCAAAAAATAAAATTGTTCTAAGCAATCCCATATTATAAAAAATACTGAATGGCACAGTTATTGTCAGTAATTGGTAAAGCAGCTGTTGAGAGGCAATGAAATTTCAGACGCAAAAAAACCATTAATAATTGTTACTGATTTGAAAGAAATAAATACTTTTCCCAGTCATGTATTGGAGGAAGTCCATGAGAAGGACTTTCTCTTAGCAGGGCTGTATCTTACTTGCTAGGAGCAGTTCCAGTTGTGCAGTGCCAAAGTCACAGTAATTGTGTTATCTCACTTCAGCTGAGAACCTTGTCAAAAGTCTTCCTCGTCTTTGCCAACTTCCTCATCACGTTTGCAGACTATTTTAGGTGAAGTGTGATAATTACTGAACTCTGTTCAGAGATGCTGAGGATGTAAGTCTAGATGTTCCCTGGAGTTTTGATGACAGTTTTTGTGAATTATATATTCCTTTTTAAAAGCTGGGGAGCACAAAGTTGGGTGCCCCATATATGAAGGGCTTCTTTCGTTTTAGAAATTCTGGAATAATCTATAATTGTTCTTTTGAAATAGAATAACAAATGTGATTAAAAAAAAAGCCTTTATTATAATAAAGCCTTTATAAAGAAGAAGCTATGCCATTTATTTTCAATATTATAGTATAAATAGCTTGTACAGAATGGATACTTAAATATTTTTCCATTATCTAGTGATCTGGAAGTTTTGATATTAAGTTCTAAATTTATATGATTTTTACAGGGAGGATAGGAAAATTTCAACACAGGAACATCAACTCAAATGGAAAGTTTTTCCATTCCCAGAATTGTTTCTATGGAATAAAATTCATGCTTAACTGTAACTCCTGCCCTAACAGCCAGCTTTCCCAAATTAGAATATACTTTCAAATCAGTGTGCAAGACTTTGTCATCTGTCAGCAAGAGCAAACTACGAGTGTTAAGTCAAAATATTTTATATAGTGTCACTACCATAAGTGTTCTGTTCTTGAGAATCAAGCATCTGAAGAGCATTATAAGGGCATTATATAGAGAAATTAAAAAAATAAAAATAGTCTTTTCAGGCTGGGTGTCAAGTTGAAATGAATATTCTGATTGCCTTTTTTTTATGATCCACATTTTTTGTGACTTCTACTTCAAAAATAATTTGAAGAACAATTTTTTGGGGTTGTTTTCTGTTTTTCTGTGATATTTTTATGATTTGCATGAGTCAGAGAGAAGTTTATATAAATGTTTATGTTATTTTAGAAGAAGAAAGCACCGACAATCATACTGTGAAAAATTCTTCAGAGAACAATGATGACCAAATAACTGGAGGAATTGTTGGGAGAAAAAAGGTAGGTGGCCTGGTTTTTCCTTCTAGTTTCATGAGTGAGCAAGGTGGCAGTGGGCAGTTACCAATGCAAATACCTCAATTTACATGATCTGCACAAATAATTAAACTGCTGAGCAACCTGTTCCTCCTCTTTAAGATTTGATTTTATTTTGTGATAATTGTCCAAATAATTGCTCTCTTAGAATAAATCATAGTAGAAATGAGATAAAGCCCATTATCACCTGTTCATGTAAAAGACAGGTTGTTCATCACATCACATCACATCACATCACATCACATCACATCACATCACATCACATCATCACATCACATCAATCACATCACATCACATCACATCACATATTGGTGAGGTGAAAACTTAGGACTTGATTCATATGGGACATTATCTATTTTCCCTCATATTTCTCTCTGAAAGCAGCAGCTAAGCTAGTTTATCTTGCATCTATTTCCAACATGATTTGGGGATCATATATATCTATATATGTGTGTATAAGCATGTTGAGGAGTACCTGATATGGAATTTCTTACAGGTTTAGGATCCAGAGGCTTCTGCAGAAACTGGCTGCTGTGTTTCCTGTTGAACAAAGACCTTAAGCACCAGTTAACTCTGAGCACGTGTGTAGTCTCACTGACACAAGCACTGTCATTAACTTTAACGGGAGTACACACGTTTTTAAGGAAGCATATTAAACACTTACTGCTCTGGGGCTTTGGAGATCTGAACCTGTATTTTTTGGACCTTGCCTCAGATTCTTATTTGAAAGAAACCCAAATAATTGCACCACTTGCAGTATTTAGTACAAACTGTACAATGTATAATTTAACAAAATGCAATCATTTTAACTTCTCTGGTTCACATGTACTATTTTGACACATTTCAAATATTGCAAATGTTTTTCATTAACATTTTGAAGCAGTCGTTTTGTTTTTAAGAGATTATTTATTTTACCAAGGAGAAATTTACAACCTCAGTTGACCTTGTCATGCACAAAAGGGTTTGTGGTTTTTAATCTTGAATTTCAGAGCTAACTGTTTTGCACATATTATTTACCTGTTTTTTTACTTCAGTTTTCCCTGTTTAAGCGAAAGCCACTGACAGGCCAGAAGAATGTATGTAGCAGAAAGGAAGACAGATCTGAAAAGCCATTACAGACTGAAGGAAAAGAAAAGGAAGATTTACCTGGTGAAGACAGTAAGGATGAAAATCAGAATCATACATTGGAGAATTCCAGTGAAACTGTGTCTAACCAGGACAGAAGGATGAAAGTTAATACATGTATGTTACTCTAAAACTGTTATAATATGTGAGAATGTGACAGTCTTAAAGCACATAGTGCAATTTTTACTTGAAAACAGTTATGACTTGCAATGTTGGTGGCTGCTTTTTTTGATTGATTTGATTGCTGTAATTTTAAATAGGCAGATGATTTTCTTGATATTTATTGGTAATTTTAATTGTTTAAATTGATATACTTATCAGCACCTTGCTGGAGTTCTGTGGCCTTACCTGTTGGTGTTCTAAAACAAAATGTGGGGGTTTTGTGTGAAAAGTTGAATGCAGTCATTTTATGTTTTTTTTCTAAATAATTTTATTCTGCGCCAGTCTACAGAGTACCACTTTCAGTATGATACTCTTGCAAAATTATATCTGATGTAAGATATTATTTGATTTAACAACTTAGTTAAGAATACTGGAGGTACTCAGTTACTTACAAACATGTTTTGACTTAGAAAAGTAGCAATAAAACTTTCAAGTTAAGGTGTAGGCCATTATGGAAGAAGTTACTTGAGTTCATGCCTAATTTCATGTATGGCAGCAGTCCCATAGGGAACAGTACCTAAGAGCAGTATGTAAGAAAGTATGTAAGTAACTATCCTGCCAAACTGGCACTTGGAGAAACCTTTTATTTCTGAGAGGTGCTGAACACCTTTACTCCTGCTGAGATCAGAATAAGCTGTTGGGCCTCTCTCTTCACAGGATCAGGCCCAGTGAAAACTGGACATCATCACTCTTGTTTCACTTGGATTCTAATCCTATATTCTTTGAACATCCATATCTAGTGAAGCTTTTCTTACAGGAAAATAATGTAACCGGAATTACTGTGGCATATGTTGGTATGCCAGACAGATCATGGTGGGATAAATATTCATGATTTTCTCAGGCAGCTTGGCTTTTCTTCAAATAGAGACTTTGCAGCAGGAGCAATGAATCTCATTATTGGTATGGAAGAGCAGAATGTTTGCTTTTTTAATTAGTGGAAGAGGCAGAAGTCACAAACTGACTATCTGATTACTGACATTCCCACTAAATAAAATTTGATTTCTGAATTTAGTCAGGTGAATAATAAATATAACCCTTAGAATCATAGATATATTAAAGATGGAAAAAACATCTATGATCATCGAGTCCCACAGACAACCCTGCACCACCATCTTCCCCACTACGTCATGTCCCTGAGTGCCGTATCTACACGCCTTTTGGATAGTTCCAGGGATGGTGACTCCACCCCTTCCCTGGGCACTCTGTTCCAATCTTTTCAGTGAAGAAAATTTTCCTAATATCCAACCTGAACCTCCCCTGGCAGAACTTGAGGCCATTTCCTCTCATCCTGTCACTTGTTATGTGGGAGGAGAGACTGATGCCCACATCACTACACCCTCCTTTCAGGGACTTGTAGAGAGCAGTAAGGTTTCCCCTGAGCCTTCTTTTCTCCAGGATAAACACCCCCAACTCCCTCAGCTGCTTCTCCTTGGATTTATGCTCCAGTCCCTTCACCAGCTCCGTTGCCCTTCTCTGGAAACATTCCAGCACCTCAGTGCCTTTTCTGAAGTGGGAGGCCCAAAACTGAACCCAGTACTCAAGGTGTGGCCCCACCAGTGCTGAGGACAGAGGGATAATCACTTCCCTACTCCTGCTGGCCACGCTCTTGCTGATACAGGCCAGGATACCATTGGTCTTCTTGGCCACCTGGGCACACTTCTGACTCATGTCCAGCTGCTGTAGGTCCTTGTCAGCTGGGCCACTTTCCAGCCACTCTGCCCCCAGCCTGTAGCACTGCATGGTTTCCTAAGCCCACGTTGTCTGGGCCTGATCCCCTGGCTGTCCCTGCACATGCCATGTGGTTGCACTCAAGATAATCTGCTCCATAGTCTTCCCTGGCACTGAGGCCAGGCTGACAGGCCTGTAGTTCTTCAGATTGCCCTTCTGACCCTTCTTGTAGATGGGCATCACATTTTCCAACTTCCAGACACCTGAGACCTCCTCTGTTAGCCAGGGCTGATGATAAACAATGGAAAGTGTCTCAGTGAGCTCTTCCAACAGGTCCATCAGTACCTTTGGGTGGGTCCCATCTGGCCCCATAGACTTCTGGACCCTTACCGTGATGAATGTGATACAGGGCCTCTGTTTGCCCCTTAATAAAATATGCTTAGGTTTTTTAATGAATATAGACAAGCTCTAGCATAAATATAAAACAAAGAATTTTTTATAAGCTGAGCACTTTTCAGGATACTTTACAAGGGAGAGATTGTCAGAGTTGCTTAAACTTTATATAGTGTGGTCAGAAGTGCCCAGAGTTGTTTTTGTCCTAGAAGTTGATTCACCTGAACTCTTTGTCCTTGTAAGTATGGCAAGGTGCTCAGATTCTTTCAGAGAGCCTCCTCTACGCTACAGTAATCATCATATTAAAAACCTGGATCCTTGGATCATCCTTTGCCAGAGTTAAATAAGATCCTTTTGTTTCTGTTAGTTTTCTTCAGGATATTCCTGTGTTCTACAATGTACCTTACATGAGCTATTTTTTGTCTGCATTATATTTAAATAATTTTTTGTTTTCCTGAATGCACATGTGGTTTCTATTCTACTTGGATACTGTTGAGAATAGTAAAGTGGAAAAGGGGAAATGAAGTAAATGTTACCCTCATTAATTTAAATAAACACTAATTATTTTTTTAGCAGGATATCAGTCACAGAAATTGTTACTGTAAGGACAATTTCTTTTTTAAAAGGTGAACTAATTTAGTGAGAAATATTACTTTAAAGTGGGAATTATCCTTAAATCTAATGCTAAAGAAGTTTATGTAATGGACTGTAAACTGCTGTATGTCAAAGCAGTTTCAGGGACTTGTACATTTATCTTGTTCATACCCTTTGCTTAACAAGAAGCAGGAACAATTTAATCTATTTGGATGTCTTTTTTTACATATCTTCCTTGTTAATAAAAAGATTAAACAAATAAAAGAAGTTGCATGTGTATTAATTTAGAGGGTATTTTCACAAGTTCACAAATGTGAGGGTGTTTTTTTACTGAAAGGTTTTCATAAACTGGCGAGTAGCAAAGAGGTCTAGAAACATTCACAGTACATTTTTCTCTGTCATTTTCTTACTTTCACAAAGGCAACTGTATCAACTTAAATTTTTATTTCTCATTTTCACAGTCCTGTCATACAGCTGAGATTGTACTTTAGAATTGTTGGTTTTCTAAATTTCATTATTGAACCCATCACTAGGTGGAGTTTGTGCTCTTCAAAGGTGTAACCCAGCCTCTGGAGCCAGAAATTTTCCTTCTCCTGGCCCCTGAAATGCAGTTAAAGATACTCACTCTGTATCAAATTTTCTGTTTCAAAATTCTCAGAAAACTTTATGTTTTCTGGCATTAAAGTACTCTGGTAGTTTATATTTATAAAGTGTATTTTTAGAGTTTTAGACTGTGTATTTGAAAAACTGTAAAGATAGAAAAGTATAATTACTCATTTATTTCTCAATATATACACAGATGGACAGTGGTCAAATTATGATACATAAATATACATCTATATGCACTCATACATATATGTGTGTATTTATATACAAAGACACACGTATATATAGACATATGTATGTATGTGTATATGAATATGGATGATCAAACATGTACCTGACCTCCTGAAATTTTCATTTAATCCAAATATTTGCCTATGTATGTTTACTGATTTCCAGAGGCCCGGGATTCATTTATTCACCTACTGTTCCTACGCAGGTTTGTGGTGATTCAAGTAGAAAAGGAGGGAACATGCTGTTTAGACAGTATTTTATATGCCCAAAGTTAATAATCATCATTATCATCATCACTGAATCATAGGATCATAGAATATTAAGGAATGGACCTTAAAGATCATCTACTCCCAACTCCTACTGCCATGGGCAGGGACACCTCCCACTACACCAGGTTGCTCAAGGCCTCATCCAACCTGGATTTGAACCGAAAAACCCCCTCCAAACCACAAACAACAACAAAAAAAACCCAAATAAACAAACAAAACTAAAAATCACTTTGTTTACTTTTATTTAATAATAATAAACAATTTTGTGCAACTTTTTCCTTTTTCTTCCAGAAAATACTTGTATAATATGCAAAATACATCTAGTCTTTGTCCCTGGGGAATACTTTAAGTCATACTGTCAACATTAGGGTAGTTGAAGTAAATTGAATTAATATCTTAATGGTAAACTGCTGTAAATCCTGATAATCATGCACACACACAAGCTAATCTTACATGACTGTTGATAGACTAAGTATGGGCTCACTTAAAACACACTCATGAATAAGACATGAACTTGTTCAGCTCTTGGCAACTGGTTTTGACATCTACCATTTTTGACATTTAGTTAATATATCAGCAGTGCTTTCTTGCACAAGAAGCCCATTCTGTACTCAATTTCTGTTGAAATTGCTGGCCCAGAAAGGGGTGGTTCTCAGAGCAACACAATCACACTACCACTAACAATACTGCTGTCCCTACTCTCTACTTCTAATGCCCCGGGTGAAGGACTAACACTCCACTCAGATTTATGGGCTGTGCCTAGCAGCATGGCTGCTTAATAACACAGGAAAATAAATGTTTCAAAAATACCCACGTTAACAGTAGAAAGGAAATCTATTTGAGTTAGATATTAAAATCCAATACTGAGCATATTTTAAAAGACCCAAGTGTTGTATAGGAAAATTATAACCATTTACTGCATGCTTGAACTATTTTATCTCTTTAAAATATAAATAAACTAACTATTAAATTCTCTCTGAACGCTTTTAAGGGCTTATTACTTACACTACTCACTATTAACAGGGCTTTACAGCATTTTCACTCCCTGTTATGCCTAAATTAATTTGAGAACCTAAATAGTGTTCTGGTTAAGAGTGATGAGACCCCTATCAGTGGTGAGAATTGAAGATATGAATGCTTTGGTAGTAGGTCTGCTTTGCTCAGTATCTCATACTGATGAGCTCTCAAACTTCACCCCTATTTGCCTTCCAAGACTGTGTTGGAATTACATTTTAATCATGCTATATAATTTTTCATATATGATCTGGTCTCTTTTTCAGGACCAGATAGTAATGACTCAACAAAGGCATTGCAAAATCTAAATCTGGCTAAACTGTAGTTCTTGTATTTTTTTTTTCAAGAAGTCTTTTATTTTCAAGACCATTCTCATTTGATGGTGAAATTGTTTAGATACAGCTGCTTCCAATCACACTCATCAAAAGCTGAAGAGATATTAAGAGTTAGAATTTTGAGGGATGTTAACAGCTTAAAAAAATAATAATACAGAGGGGTTTTTTTTCAGTATATCTACTAAACAGGAAACCATTTATCTTCTGTTTGATCACATACTGATGCATCAGTCAGTGTCTAACTGAGAATGCAATATTGTCTTCCCCCAAAAAAATTCTGGTTTTCTGCCAGCCTAAGACGCAGTGAGTGGGACATGTGGACCCCACCAGATGGAATATAAAGGCAACTGATGTTCTCTAAGACTTGCTACATATATATATATAACATATATACATACCATGTATGTGCTCTCTGTGTACCTGATCTACACCTTCATGTTGAAATTTTCCACAACAAGGTTTTTGGTAGGGGAGAAATTCTGGGAAAGTTAGTCTTGCCATTTCCTTTATTCCTGGAAGGAAAGGCGTGAGGCCACCATTAACTAGGAAGACCCAAGGAGATTTCTACAGATCACTGACGCAGGGAGGAGTAAGTGCTCAGGGATAGAACACGGAGCCAGAGTGTGCTGCCCTGAAGAACATTTCATTTCCCTAAAATGAATTATTTCTACAGTCAGGGCAGTATCTTTTTTTTGTATTTTTGACAAGGAGTGTGCCATTAAGGTTTAGGTGTGACCTAAGAAAGAAAATTATTAGGAGATAACTTAAGATTATCATTTCACACAAGAAACTATGGGATCATCATCTCTGCTATTTAAGATCACAGAACAAGAATTTCCATCAGTGTACATCTTCCTGATGTTTTTAGCCAGTGATGCCTTCTTGTAGGCTGGTCTCTTTAAGTGTTTCTTTTCTGTTTGTCATCTTGGGAACCCAGGTTTTTATTGGAAAACATGAATATATCACTTAAAAATGCAAAATGAGCAGTGTCTTTGACAAGCACAGTTCGTGCAGTGGAGATGCCTTTTGAAAACTGCACTGAGCAAAAAATCTACTTTGCGTGAAGGGATGATCATGGGCTGGCACTGGGGATTCACAGTCACATGCTGACAGCAGCAGCATGGTAAGAGTGAGGAATTTTGTCCATCATTCTCCAGACAGTACCCTACGTGACACACATCCACCTGCCTCTGTCTGACCATGTCTCCCTCCAAATATTTTTTGCCATTTTTCCTGTTGATGCCTCCTGTTCCTCACCAGAGCAGTGCCTATGGAAAGGCTGCTCTTCCTGCCTGTTCTCTTCACAGGCCAATCCCAGT